AAATCCCAAGATACCTCTGGGAGTCATAACTGTAACTGTCAGTCTTGCCTCATAGGACTTGTAGTTCCACAACAGCTGGAGGGCCAGAGTTGCCTCAACTTGGGCAGAAGCTGAAGCTCCATATACAGTGTGGGCCTAGAGTCCAAAAGGCATCACTAGGATTGCTGGTATAGTACTATTGTTACACAGGGATCCCAACCTGAAAGAAGCACTTTCAGGGAGGTGTCCCTCTCATTTCCGGGAGAAAATGTTTCTCTCCCGGGCAGCCGGGAGCCGCTATCTAATAGCGGGAGACTCCCGGAGCTTCCGGGAGAGTTGAGATGTCTGGTTACAGTACTTTCGAAACAGGGCAGGTTCACTTCAACTTTTTCCACTGCCACTGTTGTAAAGCTGGTCATACGATGCTCAATTTTACTGCTGACTTGACTGAAATTCAACCAGTGTATAGCGCAAAAATTCTCAGCCGAACAATGAATGCAGCCAATCAGCTGTTTGGATATTCCGACACAGGCACACACCACTGTCAAAATACAGAAGCCCCCAGGTGGGGAAATTGACTCCCATGGAACTGACCGGAAGGAAAAAAAAAGATATGTGCATGGCCAGCTTAAGGCTTATGTCGCTGACAGCAGAGGCCTATGAATGGACTCCTGGTTGCTATAGCAGCCGGGAGTTTGTTTACATTCTTTCTTCAGGCTGTGGGCTTTCTGTAAAGCTGCTCGATAGATTTATTTTACTTCTGCTGCCTGCAGAAGTAAAATAAAAAACATTTAAAAAATCAATAAAAAAATATTTGTAAAGCATGCCGGGTGTGCCTACGTACAAAAACAACACTGCCAAAGTGACAGCAACAATTCTAGGGCCATTATTCACTGTTAACTCTAAATTGATAACATGTAAAAGGTTTTAACATTGCCTATGGACAGTTCTGGGTACCATAGGTTGCCGCCATTTCACAGGAGCAAACAGTTTAAGGCCTCATTCACACACAACGCAAGCAAAATTGTATATACGCGTCTATGCGTGTATATACGAGCGTCTATGGGTTTCCAGAATGCATCACTCGTAATGGAATTTTAATGTGCTGTACGCATGTACACAAGTCGTCCATTGGATTGAGATCTAGACCCTGACTTGGTCTACACACGTATGTGCGTGTAAATATGCAGAAATACACTGCCCGGACGCATCTCTGTTCCATTCTGTTTTTGCGCATATATACGCTGTGCAAATATACGGCTCCATACGCGGCTGTGTGTATGGAGCCATTTATTTGCATATGGAACAATATGTACGTACGCGCGGCAGTGTGAATGAGGCCTTAAGGCTTGATATTAGACATCTTTGATTTGTTTCAGAAAGATTCGTAATTCGGACGAATTTTCGGAAACTCGGATATATCCAAATCTCCGAATGACGAATGAAAACGAATCCGAATTTCCGATAATGAAAATTTCGGAAGAAAATAGTTAGTGGTAGTCTGTACGAATATTTGTTTCTGGATGTCATTGGGCAGAGCGAGCCTTGACATTACAGCTCACTCTGCCCAGCTGTTTACATTCTGCCCAGAGATGTCATTTTGCGGTGAGTTTTCCTCAGGTTTGGATGGGTCGTCGTGCAGCGGGATTTTTTTTATTTCGGCGGGCGTCGTGCATCGTGATTGACGCTGGATTACATCGATGGATCAATTTTTATTTTTAATAACAGAATAGTCAAAAATTGACTCTGTTTTTATTTTTTCAATGAAAGATAGACCCAGAGAGGCTGAGCGGAGGGGCTACATGACTGGGGGAAGGAATAGTCCCGGGAGAAGGGGTTAAAAATAAAATGGGAATAGCTGTTCTTACCTGATTGGATGTTGGGGTCAGGTGTCCGGGAGGAGCCGCATGGGTAGGACCTGCAAGGGCTGAGGGGCGTTCTTTTTGGAAAATTGACGGAGGATGCAGGTTGTCTCACCCTCCCTCCCTGAATTTTGTGGTTCTGCTGATTGCAGGGTTCTTTTTCTGTTACGACAGCTTGGCGGGTTAGGGGGTCTTTGGGTGCTTCCCGCTGTTGGTGTCAGGATTTGCAGGGGGCGGTGCCTGGCCCCTTGGAACGTGGGAGTCCTCGAGCTGGTTGGGGTGCGGCTGAGGACATGGGAGGAATTTTTTTAGGAGAGGCCTTATTTGGGCTGTTGGGCTCCCAAAGACCGCTTCTCAATTCAACAGTGGTTTAGAGTATTTATTTGTATGGTCTTTTCTCTTCTGCAGAAGACTGTAAAAGAAAAAAAATCTTTTTTTTTCTTTTGTCTAATGTCACTTTGCTGCAGCGAACATTCGTCCAGAAACGAACATTCGCACAGACTACCACTAACGAATTTCTTCCGAATCCCGAAACAAATTGACTTTTGGACCCGAATCCTGAAAAACAAAATAATGGAAATTCCAAATAAAAACTAAACAAATTTTTGGCCGCTGCACATGTCTACTTGATATGTTTGGCATCTATTTGCCCAGCCTATTTACTCAAGTTTCATTTTTTATATAGTACCAATAACTGGGAAATGCAATGAGGGCAATTTATCAAAACTGGAGCAGACAGAATCTGGAGCTGTCGCCCATGGCAACCAATCAGCTTCTCTCTTTCATTTTCAAAGTTTAACTGAACAAACTAAAGAGAGAAGCTGATTGGTTACTAGGCATAGCTGCTCCAGCTTCTGTCTGCTCCAGTTTTGATAAAAATCCCCCCCATTATGTTTGTGTGCTTATTTTTCACCAGAAATACGGGTTTAATAAGTAGTTTTGCTAATATAATGTGACCTAATAAATTGCTGTGGAGAAACTACAAATCCCATCATGCAGCTGTCTCTGGAAGTCTTGCCTCTTGGCTGTGAGAATCTTGCCTCATGGGTTTTACAGTTACACAGCAGCCGGAGGAAATATGGAAATATATAATTTTGGGGAGTAAGTAATCTGCCAGCCTAAAATGCACATTTTAACATGAGCAACATGTGCAAAGAAAAAAAGGCCCTGGCAGTGAAAGGGTTAAATACTTGCTGTAAGCATCAGTTTTCTGATTAGAGCCTAACAGTCAAATACTGAATATGCATAATCTAAGCTAACACATCAGGATAAGGATCCTTATTAATAAATGAGAGCCATTTCACTGAAAATAAAGCTCCTTATCCTGTTTTGTGAACTAAGCCTTGTGTGCAAGTATAAGGAGTAGTATAAGACCCCCGTATAATAGGCTACTTTTCGCAATACATTATAGAAAGTGTCTTTTACATTGGTGAAAGCTTGCCTGAATAATAGTTGACACTTAGGGGTCTATTTATTAATCTTCCACAGCCATATACTGGAGAATTGCCGATTGCATGGCATTCCTGACACTAGATGGAACCAAGGCGCATAGGAAATGCTCCATGGCCCCATCTAGTGGCAGGAATGTCGGCATTCCAGCTAACGGCTGGGCAGAAGATTTATAAATAGACCCCTAAGGCCCCATTCACACTGAGCGATTTATCGAGTGATTTTTGCAGCGATATCGCTCTATGTAGCTTCTCCAATCCATTTCAATGGAGCTGTTCACATCTCGCCGCTCAATATCGCTTGTAGCTCGTCGCTCCTACATGACCCTTTTTTCGAGCGATTTTGCTCCTGATTGCATACAGCCCAATAGGAAAAAGTTGCGCGACAAGTCGCTCAATATCGCTCATATAAAATCGCGCGGAAAATCGCGCTATTTTCATGTCGCTTCAATCCCCACTTCAGCCTCATTCACATGGGCATGAGATTATATGTGTTTTTTTTTAAAGTTATCTCTAAACACATATAAATGCATAATGATTCAAATGGTATAATGCACACTGTGCCTATACCTGCATTAAGGTGCATTCTTTTTAGCTGCATTTAGAAAAAAATGGCTTTCTGGGGCAAAATAGATACTCTGAAGGCAGGCGCACACCTGGGCGATTCATGACCGTGCAGAAATCGCGCACGATGTTGCCTGGTCACGGAGTCACCCATCACCCAGGATCGCGCTGTGGGTGCAGAAAACCACAGCTCAACAGACATGGTGTGAAGAAGCACCAAAGCCCATGTGAACAAAACCGAAAGTTCTAAATGGTCACCCTCACTGACAGGGTAAATGCTTGTTTTCTCTAGGGGGTAAGGTGACATTTTTACAATTTTCCTTCCTCCTCTCCATGTGACCACTCCTCTTTGATACTCGACTGGTTGCTGCTGTTGGATGTTACGTAACATGCAAGGCCAGAGAAAAGTACAGGCTGCCGAGGGACTAAGGTAAGTATTGTGCTTATACTGGTGCACCTAGACTAAACAAACGTTGAACCCTCAGTGCATGTCTTTTTGTGGAGGAAGGAGGGGGGTGCCACAGTCAAATTTGAACCCCTTGTCGCCACTTTCCCCCTAGCTGGGACTTGACATCAAAAGTAGAAGTCCTGATCATGTGACAGCTACATTACTGATGAACAATTATCATTATCAGAAATGTACTGTCTAGGATCTGTTTGCTAATTAACAGATGGACTCCGCATCAGTTCCACTTTCCAGCACTTGTATATACATTAATCCTGATATGTTACTATGAAGCCTTTTTTTGTACTCTGTTTTGTAGAGGACAATAAAATCTACTAAAAAACAAATAAAGAATACGAAAAAAATACATGTTTATTTTAAGATATTATCAACATCTAATAAAGTTTCAATTGTACAAATATGTTCCATAGAGATCATGTGAAGCACACAGTGGTGCATTGTAATATTCTGAGCATTTTGTCATTTAATTGCTGCACAGCAGCTTTTTATGTGGACATTTTCTTTAACAATTTCCATATAATCATCTCTTAACATGTTGAAGCTGAACACAAACACTTGTGTTCAGCAGCCATTTACAGCAGTTATACGGAATGTAACCTTCTCTTCTCTTGCACAAGAGCACCCATAAATAAATCATCTGGCTCATAATCACAGTCTATCACTTAATTATTTATGCTAAGTGAGCAATCTTCAGCCTTCCTTGTCTTCCATTTCTAAAAAGTCTGTCAAAGTTCCCAAGTCTAGTGGGATGATCAGATATTCAACTCCATCCGCACCCTGTGAATAGAAAGACACGATATACATTTAACCGACGTCCAATAAAAATGTTTTGCTTATATTTTAGAGCAATTTTATCATTTTTAAAACCATACACTAGGAATACTTTTTTTGCAATGCGCACAAAAATAATTTGCCATATGATCTTTATTGAAGTTTGCATAGTGTTTTGAATTTCACCCATGAGAAGTTTTACTGATTTGACAAGATATTTCACTACAGATGCTAAACATTAGTCTTACCAATGGACAGATGATATACAACTGTATAATGAAAAAAGAACACACTGTACAAGGTAGTTTTTAAAATGTAGAATATTAAACCCTTTCATTACCAGAAGGCATTAATGCCGGCAGTTGCACTAATAAAAAGATCCTTTGGGAGATTCAGCATGTGATCACAATGTAAGAGCTGACATAGTGATCAAATGAGTGGGAATGTCTCCGATTAGTCCCAGGTGTCATTAGTGTTGTGGAAATTTTACTAGGATGCGTTTTTAGTATATTGTAATATTGTCATCATGTCTCTCAGTGTCTGGATTTCTGGGCCATGCTCGATTGGCGCATGACCCGGATTTAAATAGGCACTGGGGTTAAACCATTGGAGTAGATATCTTATGAGTGGCGGAGCAGTGTTTTCTTAGCGAGTGTGTGGACGCCAAGCTAGGGCCCCTGAGCGGTGCGCGGATTTATTGGTTTGGCGTGTATACAACTTGCTTTGAGGAAGTAGTATTATTTAAGATACATATCTGCCTTTATGAAAGAAACGTGCGTTCGTATTTCTGATGCGTCTGATCAGCGCGCTGGAAATGGTATGGCATTGTCCCTGAATGTTATTGGGCATTGCTCACTGAGCCGTGCTGGATAAGGTTCGCTCCAGTGGTAATGGGAGATTGTATTTGTGGGTATGATACAGACATACACTCCCAAAAAAACGGCGGCAGACGCGCGGGGGGATGCGAAAAAACGAGCACATATAGACGATCGGCGGGCTATGGAGCCGCCGATCGTCTATATGTGAAACACCCGGTAACGGGTGTTTGCATTGGTCGGGTCTTTTCTGCCCGTGCGTGCCCGCCAGGGGGCGCGCGCGAGCCGAAAAAAAATGCCGTCTCGAGACGGAAACCCGCCAATGCTGCAGTGCCGTCCGTCCGTTTTTTTACAACGGGTGGACGGCAAGTGGTTAACCAAGCGAATTTCCATAACATTAGGGAAGTGTCAGCTGCTGGTTCTAATAGAGGAGAGGGTTTATCATTGTGTCCTCAGCATGTGGCATCATGCAAGAGCACCTTCTATAGATTGCTGCTTGTTATACATGAAAGTCTACATAGTTTTTTTTTAACCTCTTACACTGGTAAATACATTGTGCCAAACTTCATCAGGCATCTGTTTTGAATCTTTGTTTTTGTTTAGATATTCATTTTGGTTGAATGATGACATAGTTTAATATACTTTTTACATCCCTGAATAACTTTTTTTCGATGAATGGTGAATCAGCCACTAGAGGGCACATCTAACCAACTTTATGAAAAGCAAGACCCAGCATAACACCGATTACAATACACTGAATCATAACTGCAGCGCTGGCATTGCCCGTGGTCCAGGACCCTGGCCCACAAAGTAAAGCACTGATACCTCTGCATTAGGTAGTTTTCACAACAGGAATCTGGATCATTACCTTGATACTTAATGACCTCCTAAAAAACATGTAGATCAGAGTGAGTTTGCATTCTTGTTGCAACTTACCGACTCAAAGTATTCTTGAACAGCACAACAGGCAAGAAACTAGTATTTTCACAAGAAGAGGTCAGCAATAGCAGCCTTCATACTTTCTCAGTGCATGTTTTCTTTAAAGCAGAACTATGGGGTCAGGTCTTTTCCCCAGAGTTCTCCTAAGGGTAACGGGAGGACACAAAACTAGCCTCCTCCCGTCACCCAAAGCTCAGTATACAGCTCGTGGTATATTGAGACGCTGCAGCCGGAACAGATCCCGACAATTGTTTCTGGATCCGCCCAGCTGCGTGAGTGACAGCTGGCTCTGCCTATCTAGAGGCAGAGCCAGCTGTACCCGCCCCCTCCCCCGTCCGTTCTGCCAGTCAGCGCTGGAGGATCGGACAGGGGAGGGGGAATCCAGTCCCTCTGCTGTCACAGCTCTCTGGCGGCACAGGATCGAGACGTGAGCGAGCTCCGGTATGTGTTCGCTCACCTCCCGATCTACTGAGCCGACCTGTGACAGTCTCATTGTCACAGGTCGGCTC